GTGTGGCCTCCCCATCTTTGCACACTTCAGCTCTCCTTCTTCCTTGTAAGCACCCATAGCAGTATCAGCCTGTAGGCTAGGGCTTACTCCTTCCTGGCATATCACACTTACAGTTAGGCTTTCATTCCCCCTTCAGACAGGGTGGGTTTTTCCCTAGCATCTGCCCTTCAAGATTTAGAAGCGCCAACTGACTGGTGCTTGTGAAGGCTTTGTCTCGTAAGGGACAATTCTTAAAAACAAGGGGCATTTGGGATATCCCCCCTGACCCTTTCTTTTTTTAATCTGGGAGAGTCCCAAATCCCCCTTCAGCATAACACCTCCAAATCCTTCCTAATATGGGCATTAAAAGCCAGTGAGAATCTGGATTCAGTCGCTCCAAGCTCATCGCTCCCGAAGCCCGGTGTAATTCCTTCTTCTGGGAGCGATCTTGTGAGACTGAGAACCATTTGTCTGAGGCTGCTCATCCACCACTTCTGCACACATTCTTGTCAGGACGGACAGCAAGTACCTGGGAGTCACTAATTTTGCTCCTTGGGGAGCACAGGCTGTTCCACCAAATGTACCGACACAAAGGAAAAGCCTGAAATAACCAGTGCTAGAAAGTTGCTGTTTGCCAAGTGACAGCGTGGGCGCCCTTGGTGGCATTTTGTGTGCAAAAGGTGTTCTGCATTGGATTCTGGTAAGCCTCAAGACAGCTTTCCCTGCGAAATAGGAATAGCCACGCAGAGAACAAGCCCAAAATAGTTATTAGACTGTAATTGTGTCTGCTGCCTCTTGCACAAGACTTTTCCCATGGCGATGTGCTGGGAGAAAAGATCACCTGACAGAGGAAGATGACGGATGAGACATTTGGCCCTTGGCACTTTCGCCACACCGTGCACTGCACGGCACCTCCATTTACGGCGTGTTTTGGGCCCACATGATTTAATTAGGCTCTTCTCTTGCCAAGAATATCATTGTTGATAGAAAGCCCAAGTATCTAGAAGGAAATCATGGTGGATTCATAGCAGCAGGCAGGTCTCAAGTCTAGGAAGGGGGCTCTGCGGAATCAGTCAAATCATGAGTGCTGCCACTGCAAGGAAGAGCCAAAATACTGGGTTAAAAGACAGTTTAGTTATGGAACTGATACATCTGTCAGCAAACACTTCTAGACATAGAGATGATTTAGCAGGCCGACTGCCTCATGTTTTTAGCATATCATGAATAAAATACTAAACATTCATTTGTCCGCGATGATGATTTAAAGGAATAGGGTTATTGGTCAGTAAGCCAATAGGAGACAGCAGCTCCTGTTTAATCATTTGCTCAAATAGATGAGACAAAATCAAAATCTCTTTCAAGCATACTTCTATTTTTTGTTTGAGTAAATTGTAATTTGCAAATATATTCAAATCCCCTTAATTCCTAGGGCCCCCAGGAAAGTCAGACAGGATACTGAGAGAGAATAATCACACTGGTCTCACCAAGACAATAATAGTTTCTGGGTTTTGATAGCGTCCATTGGTTTCCCAGGAATAATAAATTCCCTATTGGAAAGCCTGGACAATGCACCTCTACCATTAACTCAGTCAACAGTGAAAAACTTTATGATTAATTCTGCACTCTAACTGAATTTTGGAAGTCTTTTTTTCTTTCACCAGTTAGTGATCTACTTTCCAGTGAGATCTCAGATCTGTTCTTAAGGGTCTGAAATACCCTCATTTTGAATCTAGGGCAACGCTTTATCAGCTATGCCTGTGTCTGAGAAGATCATGCTGGGTGTTATCAACAAGACAGAATGAAGAAATACAGTATATGGCAAAACATACACCCTTTATAAATTCCCATCTTGATAAAGTGTTTCTCAGGCCTCACCCAGAATTCTTGCCAGTGGTGGTTACATGATGTCATTTGATTTAAATAATCAATTTATCATTTTCTTTCCCTTAAGCTTCTTTTGGAGAAGGGAGAAGCCAGGTTGCATATCCTGTATATTTAGAAAGTATTACCCTTTTTTTTTTCTTTTTTCCAAGAAGTTTGAAATTTCCCTTCAACGTAAATACTGAAAAACTGATGAGTCATCAAATTTCAGTTCAAGGTCCATATAATTGTGTTTTAAATTATGTTGGGAGTGCTCTAGCGTAGGGCAATTACATCACTTCCCATTTTCTGCTCATATGAGGTATGGGTTCATTCTGATAGCCTGAAGTAGCTGATATGGCTTTTTCACTTGTGCCGTTACTTGTCGATGGTGGCCAGCAACAGGACAAGTGGTAACGGGTGTAAGTTGAAACACAGGAAGTTCCCCCTCCATGTGAGGAAGAACTTCTTTCCTGTGAGGGTGACAGAGCCCTGGAACAGGCTGCCCAGGGAGGCTGTGGAGTCTCCTTCTCTGGAGATCTTCCAAACCCTCCTGGATGCCACCCTGTGCCATGTGCTCTAGGTGTCCCTGCTGGAGCAGGGGGGTTGGACTAGATGATCTCTAGAGGTCCCTTCCAATCTCAGCCATTCTGGGACTCTGTGATTGCTTCCAGTTAACTCCAAATAGCCACCTGATGGTCAGTCCAGATTTTTATTAAACATTTCGCACAACAGAAGCACCAATATCAGTCAATAATGATTTTTGAAACTTTTTTTAAAATTCCATAAAATTCCATAATTTAATTCCAAACTTCCAAACACCCTCTTAGTTTAATCTACAGGTCGCAATACATCAAATATGGATTTTGTGTGCTGCAGAATATATATGATCAGCACTCTCCAGGGGCGGTTACTTGCACCTGAAATGGAGGTTGCCTACACATATGCATGCACACAGAATTATATAACATTTGGATTATGCTCAGATTTACATAATGTTCAGATTTTGTAGATATTCTTTGTCCTCCATTCTTTGCAACCTTCATGTGGAATACAAGGGTAGTCATCTGAAGACACTCTAGCTGTATGGACTTACAGAAAAAGGATATGTACAGATACAGCATACAAGATAGCAGATACGACATACTAAGCAACTGGAATTCTGCAAGATAAATCAGCAGTTTTGCAGCTTTTATAGATTTTTTCTTTTATCTTTTCAATCCGCATTCCCTTTTTTTATTTTTTTTTTTCTGCACAGACATCTTGGCTCAATCGCTTGGGTGCCAGTCACCTCGCCAGAGCTTTCTACGGCTCTTCCTCGTGAGCATGGTGTTAAAGAGACAAGTTGCATAATGCCGACTGTGCCTCTATTTCTCCCCCTCATCCCTTGCTCCACCCCATCTTAATTCCTCGCATTCCATCCAGCCTTCCTGCCTGACCCCTCCCTCGATCTCCTCTCGTTGTTGTTGTTGTTGCTCCTGATTTAGTATCTTCCTTCATGCCGCTGCCGCGCACGTAGAACAAACGCGGCCTCCCACCTCACGCCAACGAGGCCTCCTCCCGCTCCGATTTCAAAACAGGGCGCAAAGCCGCTGCCGAGCCATCTGTTCCGTGAATCACTCCAACCATAACAAGCACATTCCATCTGTCTCCGCTCGGATCCGCATAACCTTCGCCTGGAAGCTGAGAGGGCGCCGTTCCCATCTGAGCTCCAGAGAAACCCCCGGGACCCAGAATTCGCAGTGCTTTGAAGTGGGTCACAAAGCGTTCAAGGAGATGCACCCTTTTCTCTTGTACCTTTTTTTTTTCTTCCTTTTTTGTACATTTTGCAGGATAAGCTACTCATTCATCTAAAGTACTGCATAAAATTGCATGAATCGCATGTAGAAAAAATAATGCACCTCAAGTGTTGCATGCCATGCAGGTGTTTGAGTATTAATCCCCAAATTCCTTTTGGTTTTGCTCCAAAACGGTGCTTTTTCTGGACATATCTTTTTACATTGCAGTCTTCGGGTGAAAAGGAGTCTCCCTGCAAGTGAGCAAAATTTCTGGGTTTGCATGGCAGCTGAGTGCAGGAAGCAATGGACTATTTTTTGGCCTCAAATCTCCACCTTGCCATCAAGATCACTGAGGCAAGATCTGGCCTCCAAGCTACTCTCCCTGTACATATGAGAGTATAGATTCTCACTCGAGTGGATATTTCAATTCCTCAGCTTTTAACATGGATCTGCTCAAATCATTAGATCCTAAAATCCCAAACCAGACTGCTGTGGAACAACTAAGTGCATTTAAACCTGGAAGCAAAACCATAGGAAAATGAGAATTCTTTTTCCTCAAATATGCTTTCACATACAAAATTAATCAAAAGAAGTGTATCGTACAGTGTCCATTTATTAAACCACTGTTTATGCTAAGAGGTTTTTGTCACCTATGTCACGTGGCTTGTGTACTAACTGGCTGAGCAAATCTAACAGGCGTTACCACAAATACATGGCTTGAATGTAAAAATAAATAAGTTTATTGATTTTGCTGTGGTATTTTTCATTTGCTTGGAAAGCTTGCCAGTTTAACTTACAATAGGAGCAGAGCAAAAATGCTAAACTTGAGTTTTAATATTAGAATTTAATGATGGATCACTTTTTTTTTTTAACTTGATTAAAGAGGAAAATTGGCATTAATGCAAACTTAGTGATCTACTGTTAAATGAACGTAAAAGCAAATTGGACTTCAGCGCACTTCCACTGCCTGGCACGGCAGGTTTAATTATGCATTTTGCCCAGCCTCCCAGGTATTGAGCACAACCCTTTAATGCCTCCCTCCCGTAAAGTGCGGGCAGTAGTGTCATTTCCATGTGGCGCAGGCAGCTCTGCAGGAAAGCGAGCATCTCCGGCTGCCCCGTGCAGAGCCCGGGCACTGCCTGGGAGTCACGGCTCCAAGGCAGGCAAGTCCGGAGGGCTCACAGACGATCCCAAAGATCTCTCGGAAGTGTCCTCACTGGGACATTCGCGGTTTTTATTTTCAAATGGGGGCATGGCAGCACTGTTTTCTCCCGTCATTTCCTGAGCAGCCCAGCGTAGAACTGCCTTCGCTTCACTCCTGGGAGCTGAAAAGCACCAGCACCTCCCTCTTGTGGCGTGCAGGACGCCTCGGTGGGAGGCGAAATGGGAGCCCGGCGCCAGGCTGGGAAAAGGGGCCTGGCGCTGCGCGGTGCCTCCCGGCCTCACGTCGTCGCTTCTGCAACAACCGGCCCCAAGAAGGGGACCAGCCCCATCCTGCTTTCTGCCCATTTACCAAGTAGCCTGGGTATTTTAAAAAATAATGAACTGTATTAAATTGCATTTAGCTGGAAAAATAAGAAAGGTCCTTTGTGCAAAAGGGAATGTGGCTTTTGCATTTAGTTACCTTCACGCTTCAGTTTTAGGCTAGGTTTAAACTGCAGTTTTACAGACCCCAACAGCACTGCTGTGTTTGTGCTATCAGACAGAAAGTGTCTTGATATGCTGGAGAACCATGCTGGAGAACGTGGAACATAGCATCAAGAATAATTGCAATAAGCTGTATTCTCTGTATTTCTAATAGCTTTGCTGCCTTTACTAATCTGATCACAGTTTCAAGACCCTAACTGGGCAAAATTGTACGCTTTTATATGGTGCAGATCTCTCTGCATTTAGTATTCCATTATTAACGTTTTTAGAGAATGCAGAAACCCCAGGACTGCCTATTCCCAGAAAGCATATGCACTTTTTTTTTTGCAAATGCCGTGCAAGTGTATTTCTGAAGTGAACATACATTAACTTCATGTGTGAGGGATCTTTATATCTCAATAAAAGTCCTTTAAAAAAGTCCGCATCCTTTTCTATAGGCCTATGCCACTATGGGCTAAATGTTGAACAAATTTCATGTCCACAGAAGCCAGGGCTTTGAGAACAGCTTTCTGGCTTCAATAAATCTAATGATCAAACACCTAACAAGAATTACCATTAGGGGAAACAAGACTGCTACTTCTTCATGCCTAAATTTAAAGAAATAAAATACAAATGGAATAATAACATTTGAGGGCAAGGTCTGATTAAAGCCTTATCATTGTGGGGCTCTGTTATTACAGAAAACATCATGATCTAAGATTTTTCATGAAATATGAAATAGATATTAAAGAAAAAAAAATCCTTTAAATACCCCACAAATACTTCTAAAAATCTAATGTTTAGGATAGCATGTCTCAACATAGCCAACACCAGCATGGAACTGTGTAAGTTTTTTCTATACCTTAGAGGTTTCATTTTTTTTACTATCGCTGAGAGTTGCCTTCAATAATTTGGTGCTTACTTCAGACCACAGATGTACTATTTGACATAAAGTAGTCCAAAATCGATGGCTAGTGCTTTATGTCCAGTACATGTGAAAGTGCAGATACGCAAAATATGCTGCATATTCAATGCTAATCTTAATGTTTTGCCTCTCTAATAGTTTTAAGCATATACACTATGCTTAAATCTCATCACTTCAGATTGTTACTTTTGCAGTTTCATTTGCTGAAAATTATTGCCTTTCAGAGACTGATTTAAAATCCAGTGACAGCTGCTCAGTTAAAAGGAGCTGGAAGAGTGTATTTTTAAACCTTCTTATAAGCATGAGGTTTCACCTCTTTCTAAGTCAAATGAAATATAAATATTAACAGAGAACATCAAACAAATATTGGTGTAAAAATCAAGAGTTAAGGAATACCAACAGTTTTTAACATTGCTTTCCTGATGTGTTTGCACTATACTCTAGTTCCTGTTTATGCCAGTGGATGCCGTTGCTTCTCACAGGACCTCAGCCTTTCTCCAAATACAGACCCTGGCTTCTGTGACAAAGAACAAGGACCACAAATGCAACAAAGGGAGGGAGGGAGGGAGGGTTTTACTGGTGTTTGGAGGCAGAGCTGCTGACCAAATGCCCTGGAACCAGAGCGGACATGAAGAGGCTCGGACTGGAGCTCGAGGAGGCACCCAGGTGACAGCAGTGTTTCAACTAGACAGCAGTAGTTGCTGACATTGCTGTCGTTGTTATTATTATTATTATTATTAACTTAGTGTTTAACTTAGTGTTTAATGTTTTGTAAAGATCTCATTGGAATGGTTACAGCCGTAACAAATAGAAGACTTTTGAGCACTCTTTAAATTTTCACAACAGGGTGGTGCAACATCAATTGCCAAGATTACTTTATGCACATTTTAAGAACTTACAAAACACCTAAATGTTCCTCCTTTTCACACATTATTGCTCCTTATGTTAATTCTAAGCCTGCCAGCTTAGAAAGAACTCAATGTATAGCTGTCTATCTTCTAACCATCACAGTAAAACCTGTGTAATAAAATGAGCTACATTATGCTTTAAGAGGACAAAAAGCCCAATGGGTTACCAAGCATTATTTGCTATTGAGGGCATGAAAGAAAGTCTATGATGCTGGAAAGAGACAGGACCAAGGAGTCTGATTTCAGCCCAGGGAATTACTCTACTTTATGCCTTTCCTCCTGTTCTCAAACAAACTGCTGTCAGCAGCTATGCTGCCAGAAGGGTCTCCTCTGTACACAACTTTCTTCTTTATTTTCTACCTGAAGAATGAAGGTGTAGGGAGAAGATATCAAAATTAAGTTTAACTGCTTTTCAGATATCTGCTAGTTGTTCAGGTAATTATGGCAACTGTAATAACTGTGTGCACTAGTATGAAGGCTTCTCATTGACTTGAAGAGTCCTGACAGCACTGGGTTAAGGCAGAAAATGCCTGAGTAAGGTGTAACATTTCCACTCCGGTCTGTTCTTCTGCTGGCCTTCATTCAGGGTGGCAGGGGAGCATCTGACTGTGAGAGATCAGGTTAATTAGTAACTAAGAGTTGGTTCAAAAACACTGTGAGTTTAGAGGAGAAAGCAAGATAGTAACATGACGAAAGAGTTTGCAATGTGAATTCCAGTCTTTTGGGGTTTTTTTTGGACAGGAAATTTAAATAAGTTTATTTTGAGCATACCAAATTGACCCCACTAACCAGATGTAATAAACAAATGCAGATATTTAAGCTGACATTTGAGCAGTGTCAAAACCTTCTAAGCTTGTTGTAAGTGGATTAGCAGATCAGTGCTAGCTTTCCTATTCTGGGACATGTTCCAAGGCAAGCGTGAAGACTGTTGATTTCATTTAACTCCAATGTGGACATCTCTTTATATTTAAATAATACTCAGCATTTGCATACTTTTTATGACAAGCTATTAGACAACACTGTCAATCTCTGGATAAAAATTTGCTCTCCTTTAATGAAGTCTCTGGTTTGCACTGTATCTGAAGGCAAAAACTAAGATACTTTTACAGTTCAGTCAGTTTGTGAAAGTGTAATTATTAGTTTGGAGCATACAGTTTTCTCACAACACATGGTGGATCTAATCTGATCTAATCACAGAAAAAAAGAAGACTGAATAAATCTTTTTTTTTTGAAATAGTGTAAGAAGACATTTAATGGATTCACTAGCATATTTATAGATTTAAATAAAACAGTGGCAACTAAATGGAGAGCCAGCTCCCAATATCCCAGCAGTATTGACAAACCTGCAAGTGTTCGGTATGTTGTTGGGAGAAGCTTGCCAACTACTGCTACTCACACAGTTCGGTTATATCTGTCAGTGATAACAAGTTCACGGGGCTCCATTCAAACTAGCTCTTAAATATTTGCCTAAATGCATCTTGTTCAACAAAAATACATGTTCATGTCTCTCGGATGCCGAATAATTCTGACTCCAATCCAAAACCAGTGCTGAACGTTGCAGACAAGAATCTTTCCAGTCACGGTTACCTTCTGGGAACATAAATGCAGGGAAATCCTCAAAATGGAGTTTATAGAAGAAAAATAGAAGCATTGGTGCCCCAATAATTTCAGCCATATTATACCACATTTGAAGGAAACAAGGGTGAAATTTGGCTCCCCTGGGCTTAGGTGTGTACCATGTTATGTGTGAGCTATATATATGACCTACCATGATGGCTAATGGAGATGTGTACAGCTGAATCAGGGGAGCAATCAGGAATCAGTCTGGGGAGCAATTTGTTTCATATGAAAGTGGAGAGCTTCCTTTGGTCATATGAAAGCTTCTCTAGACTCAACTGAGTGTGTTGACTGCATCCCCATTAGCTATGACATGAGTTCACGGGGGCTCACATGCAGACACTTACATTGTGCCTTCCCGAAGGTAGCGTGAGCCAGAGCTCATCTGCGATTTTATAGTCTTTCAAAGTGAGTCTGGCTTTCCAAGGCAAATAAAACTTTCAAATTTAATCATCTTTAGAGAGATGGAACCAATTATATGTACACAGGTATATTATATGCAGACTAACTCATGTTTCCTTCCTCCCTCCCTCCCTCCTTCCCTCCTTCCCTCCTTCCTTCCTTCCTTCCTTCCTTCCCTCCTCCCTCTCTCTCTCTCTCTTTCTCTCTCCATATACCTATACCCTACCTGAATTTTAAGGTCACCTTCCCTCAAATCTAAGGCAAGTTTGTTTGGCTTTCCAGTGTCTCCTCCAGCATGTTCCCTGCTACAACTTGTAGTCTTGCCTGTGTGTAGCTCATCCAAATCGGTGTGACTTCTGTGTCACAGGCTGATTAAAAGAATGTATTCAAAGAATTCAACCTATTGGATATGATATATTGCTGGCACCCCAACAAAAGACCTCTTAGGCTGCAGAAAGGAAAATGTATCGGTATGGTTTATTTTTCAAGGGAATAAGGGTTACAGAGCAAATTGTTATGTAGCAAGCTACTTAGAAATCACGACTTCTAATCCTCCGTGGACACAACCCACTCCTGGCTGTAAAAACGTTCTTGTCTCCTCAGCTTTCAGAGCTCAGTGGAAATAACCTTTTTTCTTTCCCTCCTTTGCCAGCCAGATCATGGAACAGCGGCAGAGGCCATTGCACCCAGCAGCACCACCAGGGACACAACACCATTGTGCAAAATTGCAAAGAACAGAGCTTTTTGGCCATTTTGGCAGCATAGTGGTTAGAGCTTGGGCCCTCAGGGGAGCACATGGCTTGTTTTCACAAATAAAAACTAGTCAGCGCTTTGTTACTGCAGCGTCAGACTTGGCAGCGTTTTGATCGACTGAGTAACTTCGTGTGCGCGGGGCGACTAGAAAACGGCCGCGACCCGGCCCCCAGCGTCAGGTTACACAGGTAAACGCGCGTGCCCGTTGGGACCGTTGGGGCGGTGGC